TAGTACATATGTTGTTAAAATAAAATGAACAGTCCAATGATCATTTTACTGATATGTATAAAGACTGCAAAGGCTGAAAAATCTTGAAGTCTGTATGAAATTGGAGGTAGTTTGAGGATTAAATTTTTTACGCTTTTTAAGCTCAAAAAAGGGGAGGGGTCATATTATACATGGGATCGTATTATACATGAATAAATATGGTAATTACTTAATTAATTTCTACATAAAACTGTTTATCACCCATTTATTCAAATCAGGTGTGTTGAAGCAGAATTTTTTCTTTTTAAAACAGGCAGGACATTGTCCATCAGAACCAAGATTAGATGTCCCTTGTTTAAGCACTGATTAGCTAATGAAAAGCAGCCATTAGAAAAATACAATTATCATCCTAATTTTAGATAAAAGTAGTAAAGTGAAGCTGTAGATGTTAGCAATGAAACATTTACAACCATTTCCTCATTCAGTGGAAATTAAAAAAAAAAGTTTAAACTGGCCCAGCTAAATTTCACAATAAACACCAAACTTTAAAAAAACAATTCTGTATTTCCCATCTTGTCTTAATACAGAGCATAGTCATGCTCCATGGTAAGCTGTGGTGGTGTCGTCAATCGGGTCTGGCACTGGGCTTTATAGCCTGCAGAAATATGGCTCATTTGTTGGGTTATAGTCCTGCAGCAGTTTGACTCTGTGAATGATTGCAGTGATGGTGGGAAGCTGGGCAGATTAGCGAGTCGCACTAACGAGCTGCCACGCTCTGAGAGTTGGCAGGTCTAAAATAACACCGGGAGCAGAAACGGACTCCGATTCCTCTGGGAAGAGGCTGAGCAGCGTGCAGCGAAGTAAATCAAGCAAGATGGGGAACCTTGTACAGATTCAAGATGAAATGTCACCTCAGATTTATGTGTGCAGTAAAGAACTTCCTCCTTTTTAATGGCCTCAGTTTCCTCCAACCAGACTCCAGTTTCCCGCCTCTCTGTGGCACTCTGACTAATAATCTCTGAGATGTTTGCCACAAACCTTCAAGTCGTATTCCCCGTCTCAATTCAGCTAATCTTTTGAAGATTTTTTCTACTTCTCACAAATCAGATTTCTATTTATTATAAGTAAAATCATGTGTGCATCAATTAATAAGGGTTTTTATTGTATTTACCAAGGAGCCTTTTAAAAGAATAAAATCTGTTTCAGTTCAGTACAACAGGACATTCATAAAATACTATTTTTATATCAGGTCCTTAATACTTCTACAGTAATCAGGCTTGTATGTATAAACAATACATCGTTTATTAAACTCTTGAGTACAATAAAGCATTGATGTTATCAGACTGCATTGTTGCAATCAAACAAACAGCAAAGATTGATTTGTTATTAACTTTTATTTAACTAGGTAAATCCCACTGAGATCACAGATGTCTTTTTCAGTTGAGGCCTGAAGGCAGCGTAAACATGCAAGCTTTTGGAATGTGGGAGGAAACCGGGGTACCCGGAAAAAACCCACACAAACACAAGGAGAACATGCAAACTCCACACAGAAAGACCCCAGGTCCAACACAGGATTTGAACCCAGAACCTTTTTTGCTGTAATGCAACAGTCCTCACCACTAATCCATCATAAATGACAGTAATAAAATCTCAAAATCAATCAAAATGCAATCTGAAAGTTAAACCCTCCTACTTATTTGATGCCTTTTGTTGAAGTCTATTCCCAGAGTTGGTTATTGTTCCACTCTTTAGTTTTGTTTGATTAATAAAACTGTTAACTTTATTTCTTTATATCTCTGTGTCAGGACTGGCCTGGAGGCCATCATGGAGACATATGCTTTCTGGAGACCTCCAGTGAGGACCCTGACGTTTGAAGATTTCACCAATATGCAGAAGCAGCAAGGTACACACAGTATATATACAGTACTTTCTTGTAATCTTGAATCCCTCATTTTGTCTTGTGCACTTTAATTTTTAGCTCTGATGTTACGCAATTCTGAGCTTTTATTTCTGAAGCTGAAACAGATGGAAGAACAATATATATATA